TAAAAAACACCTGAAAAACCAAATGCAAACTGACTGTGAAACACCTCCACCACCTGAGCTGATCTCAGAGGATGAAGCACTTCACATGGATGTTGCAGGCTCTGTCTTCACATTCCAGCTACACATGAGCCCTTCAGTATTTCTTGTACTCAGCTGTCCTTTATGGATCTCACATGTCCAAAACACAGGACAGACATTATCCTTGAGCCTGTGCCTACAGCTGAGAAGGTGAAGTATGGGTGGGCAGGGAAGGAGTCCACATTCACATCTCAAGTCACAAGGATGGTAACCATAGTCCCTGAGAAACTTCGATCTTGCCTTGCTCCTGCCTGCCCGATCCACAGCCCTCCCTTTCCAAAAGGCTGCAGAGACTGGAAAACTGAAGACAAACACACTCCAAACATAACAGAAAATTAAGCTCCTTTTCCTATTCATTTACAATTGTCAGAAGTGAATCTGTGCCCCAAAAGGCCACAATGCACAGTAAGAGGTCTACCTTAGCCATCAGCCCTATTCTCAGTCTCCCCTCCCACCTTCTTCATGCCCTTTCAAGAGCATTTTCCACCTCACAGCTATCCACTATCCTTCTCTGCAGCTGTCTCAAAAATGCCTGGGTTCAAAACTAGAAAGCAGAAAGCTGGTGGGAGAGAGGTGGCAGTGCAACTGGTGTGGATAAGGACACAGCCTTATCCATGTTACAGCCTGAAGCCCTCCTAGGGCCATATGCCTTATTCACCAGTTCGGGCAATCAAAAGTTCATGGTCAGCCAGCTGCAAGCAGGCAGGTCAAGCACATAAATCTCTCTCTCTCTTTCTCTCTCTAGTATCTTTACTCTTTAAAAATTATGCAAAATTCAATCTAAGAATAGATTCTCGTCATGGGAAGAAACCAAAACGCCAGATGTCTTGTACACATCTGCTCTAAAACTGACACCTTCAGAGACCCCACACCAGCAACAAGCTGCAAGTATGCAGAAAAGTTATTCTGCACAAAGCTGGGGAAATAGCCTCGATGCAGTGAAGTCAGGAGAGTGAATAAGTGGGGAAAACCAGTGTTTGGACCTTGCTTTTACAGACACTTAAATGTGTTCTCACCTTGAGGTTACCAGGAATTCTAGGAAAAGTTAAATCCAGGCTTATGAGTTTTCCAGGTTTTACACTTCCAGCTCCTTTCAGAAAATCTTTATATAAGATTTACAATTACAGGAATAGGTCAATTTAGTAATTGTAGAAATTGTGGAAACAGCCAGGTAATGGCCAACAAGAAACAGCTCCCAGCACAAAGTTACTTGTTCCCCTGCAAGAGTGGGCAAGAAAGTAATTATGGAGTCAGAACAGACAATCACTCCAACATAATGGTTGAAAGGAAACATTAAAAACATTTTTAGTAAAGCTGTGGGAAACTTGTGGGGGAAAAACAAGAGATGGAAATAGATGCTGAATGACTTAAACCTGTCTTGAAGATCATGTGCTGAACAAGGTGGGCCTTGTTCTCAGCCTCCCTGCACACTGGAGATCAAAAACCACTACAGACATTGAGTGTCATTGAAACAGATGGAAACAACTTTGAAAATCTATTTCCCTCCTCCTACAGGCTAGCACAGCTGAAGGAGGAGGCCAGAAAGGCAGGTAGCAGAGCAATATGACATGTGGCCTGCCTGGTGGCAGCACACTTGCTCCAGTGTCCAGGGTCATTCTGTGCCCACAAGGACAGCAGGACCCTGTCCCAGGACAGGTCACACACATCCAGCTGTCACTACAACCTGCCACTTCCAACAGCTCTGTCACCAAGGAGACAAGCTCCAATTTTTAAGGCTATTTTAAAAGCAGGCAGGCACATTTCCCTTTAGGACACCAGACCCATGTGGTACAAGCCACTCCTGTCCACATCATCGCAGGTGGTGCATTAACATGCTCCCAGCTGCAAGTGCCAGCCTGCACCTCAGCACGCAGCAGCAGATGGCACCTGAGAAGCTGCCTTGGCTGAAAGGAGTTTGGAGCTCCAGATCACATGAACAGAGTAACCACTGCTGCAAGAGAGACAATAAGATGCCCAACAGGTGCCACTTCCAAGTCCACATTATGTCTCCCTATGGGCTAAGGGGCCTGGCCCTAAAAGACCCTGAGGTTTCCTACTCCTCACGCTCTCCCCATCCTTGCCTGCACGTAAACACTCATTGGCCTGGGAGGGAATGGCATTTCTGCATACCCTGGGAAAGAACCTGCCAGCACTCTTGCCAGGACAACCTGCTAAGAGACTCACCAAGAAACACTGCATTACTAATCACACTGCCAAAGCGGGAACAAAGCCTGTTTGCCACGTGCTTCGTGCATTAACACCAGGCCCTTAGTCCTCTAGAGCTAAGGGCAAAGCTCTGAAATGGCATCCAGGCACAGCTTAACTGCTCTCTGCCCTCCTCCTCCTCCTCTTCACACTGCTGTTGACTGCAGGCACACAGGTCCACAGCACACGTGTTTACAGCAGATGTGCACACACACATGCAAAGGGTCACTCGTGAGCCTCCTCACTAGCCTGTTTTCACTCCCAGTCCTGGAGGAACAGAGTCCTGCAGAATCATAAAGCCTGGCCATAACAAAAACAATAGCTCACTAATCTGCCCGGTGGGGTGATTATTTGGAGACCGAAAATTTTTTGGGACATTCTATAAATAAGTCACTCAGCCAACCTCATTTCTCAACCCCAGCCACTCCACAAAACCTCTCCCAGTTCCCCAGCAGCAGGAGATGATCCTGGAGCATATGAACGTCCCCCTCCACACCCTGTTCCTCTTGGTCCCCTCAAAGGACATTGTGCTCCCAGTATCTGTCCCCTTACTCCACCCAGGGGACTGGCATTCATTAGAGCTGTCAGGAGCACTGCATACCTTGCCCATCTAACAACAGAGATGCTTTCAATATCCAGTGTCAAACCTTGCAGTATTGCCATCCACAAAACCCCCCTTCCCTGCTCCCACAGATTCAAGAACTGAAAAATCAGCAGTGTCATGCCTTTGAATATCTATCAGACAGCCAGGTTCATTCTAATACTACAATTTTCTCAAGTATTTCTCCAAGTTTCATTGGTTTGAAGTCAGAAGGTACGAAAAGGCCATGAACATGATTCCAGGGTTAAGATTAAATAAAATCCCAAACATCAAGAACAACTCCTCCTCCTCCTCCTCCTCTCTTATGAAACACTCCGCAGAGTGAACAGAAGATGAAATGTTTTCCATTCATTTCCTATTTTTAAACCCCACTTGTTAATGTTTCTTGGCTTTTTAAAACATCATTTGACTAGAGCTCTATTAACTACCCAGTGGTCTCAGCAGTATGAATTTCTTCAGGATTTCTCCCCAAAGGAAACTCTCCTCACTTTTAGCCTAGTTTGAAACTTCTCTCTATTAACTTCCAGAGGAGCTTGGTTTCCGATGTTCCTTGTGCTTGTCTTTCCTGCCACAATTAATATCTCCTGTATGAGTTAATTTAAAAATATTCACATAAAACAGCTAGGAAATACAAAACCAGAAGACTTTCTGCAGATGATGTTTCCAGATCATTTCCAAAAACCCCACCTCACACTGAAAAGCCTCCTCACAGGGTTTATTTGCTGACATCTTGTGAAATCTCTAACAGTTTCTGTCTTGTTTTAAGAGAGCACTTTGGGCTACAAAACCATCAGCCTTTGAAGACACGTCTGGTGGATCTTCACAAGCAGTTTAGCTTGTTAATGCTTAGCCACAAGCACTTATCTCTCTCTCTTTTATTGTGATGCAGCTTAATGCTCCACTGCTTTCTACAGTAAAGTTAATGGTGAAGACATAAAACAATTATTAGGACTGGAAGTCTGACATGGCGATTATTCCTTATAGTTACCAGATATTTGTGGTCTTGCTCCTCCGACAAACCACTTCACACTAAAACAAGCAGTTGCATCTCTTCCTCCCACCATTCTTGCATTTCCCCTTTTTCCCCTCCAGATGCTTATAACTGCTGTATTACAGACAACTGCTAAAACTGCTGTGGGTTTTCATAATTTTCTATGCATCGCCATTTCCCACAGCCACAAAATCTATAAAACTGAAGTTAGGTCTTTACAAGAGCACCAGTTATTTCCTGATGGGCATTATTTCTTTTTCTTTGCCTTTTTTTTTTTTTTTGTAAAGGAAAAAAACTCTGGAACTTCAGCAAGACCAGTTCTAGGACTGGGGTAGCATCTGAAGTCACATTACCACACATGTATTTAGAAACATAAATAAGATGAACTGATTCTCACTTTGGGATAACAGAAAGCTCCAGACACTCACTACTGAAAAATAAGTGCAGTTTAAAAGGTTGGTTTGTTTGTTTTTCATAAACCTGAAAGGGATCTCTGGAGACCACCTTGTCTCACTCCTCATTCAGCATATGGGCCAAGTTGGATCTGGTTGCTCAGGGCCTTGTCTAGCTTAGTTTTTAGTATCTCCACAGATGAAGACTTCACAGCATCTCTGGATAACTGATCAAACGTCTGACCCAATCCCACGGTGAAAATGCTTTTTCTAATACCCAACTGGAATTTCCTTTCTTGCAGCCCCTGTCTCTTATGCTATCACTGTGTCTCAGAGGAGCCTAGCTTTGTCTTGACTGCACTCTTTCACAAGATAGTCATGGACAGCAATAAGATCTTCCCTTTCCTCTTCCTCCAGAAGAACAAACAAAACCCATCTCACCCTTTCCTTGCATGTCCTGTTCTACAATACCAAAACTTCATGGTGATCTTCATTTGGTTCATCATTCTCCATTCATCTTCAACAATCACAGGTTCAGATACATGGAAGTAAGTGTATTTCTGGCCCTTCTACCACTTCTTTTGATGAACTTCTGACTCAAAATGATTGCACTGCAAAGTTAGTAACCTCTGTAAAAATCATTCACACGCACCCTTAGTGCACCATCACCCCACCAGGAACATTTCATTACTGCATCATCACAACAAATAAACATGGGCTCAGTGTGTTCTACCTTCATTAAAGTTGTCATCGGTCGAGATGTGGGTCAAGGGAGACTGGGGTCGAGAGTCCCCACACAGGGAATAGCTGTGTTCTGCCTGGATGAGGGGCGCTGGGGACGCTGGAGACAGTTCCACCTCCATTATTTCATTCTTCTCAGACAAGAAGGGATCATTCAAGAGCTGGCCTAGGACATCAGGTGAAAACTCATCCAGGAACTCTGTGAAGTGCTGTGGAGACAAAAAGAAAGGAAAAAGTTTATCTCCTTGCCTATCTGTCGTGCCAACAACAGGAGAGGATTGATCAGAACAATCTTATATCTGCAGGGGGCATCTGTGCCAGTCAGCAGCAGGATCTACCAGCCCTGTCTAACAACCAGCTCCTCCAATCACTACTTCAAGCTGAAGAGCTACTGCTAGAACAAAAGTCCTCTCAGAGGCACACATGATAACAGAAGAGCCTGTCATTAATGTGCAACAGAAATGGAAAACAGAAGCATGGTACTCCATGTCCCAAAGTGGCATCCTCCCCCTACTACACATACAGTGCACCACCAAAAACGGGAAAGTACATTTACCCCAGGTAGGAGTGATAGATCCTGCTGGATTTATCATCAGAACATTTTGTGTGTGGAACAGAATATAGAGGGTTAACGTTCACTGAAGCAGAGAACAAAAATGAAACATATTCAGACACATACTCTGACACCATGTGTGACTATTTTAGCTGTGCAGAACATTCCGTGTGCTCCAGGAAAAAGGGCCCTGCACATTCGCAGCCAAGCAATTACAACATTTGCTAAAAATTGGATTTTCTGAATGATGTATGCATCTATTTTAGAAGCTGCCTTGCACCTAGGACTAGAGCCCGTACCAAGCTTCTAGGCCCCAGAGCTAAAGCTCCTGACAGCCAGAACTAATTACCACTTTATCTATTACACTGAATTCATTACACCAGCAGCACATGCTATATCTATACGCAGTAGGAAAACTTTGTGTTTGTTTCTTATCCAAAATGACTAAAAACTAAAAAATGTTGCCATCTAATTCCTTGAGACTCCAGTGCAGTTCCCATCAATAGCTGAAAATTCTCTGTCTCTTCTTGGTTTTGTTTTCAATGTCAGAAAATTACATCTTTGACGGACAAAGAAACTGCACTGCAACAAATCATTCCTGCTCATCTCATTCACACAAAGAATTCTATTTTTGTACAAAAATAGTTGTACAATGAATTGTAATGAGATTTTCTGAACAATCAGGCATTATCTTCCATCTTATATAGGAATCTTTGTCGACTGGGGCATGATGCAATAAAAGTCTAAGTTTGTTTGATTTGCTCTGTTTTTGCAAGCAGTATTGATCTTGGCTCTTCATCTTGCTCTCTCTCCTGCAGAAACAAACACTGAAATTCAAGATTTGGCTTCCTGTAGGCTAAATTAAGACTTGAACAAGTCAATATTGTATAAACCCGCGAGGGAAGCTGTGTGCTCACACCCTCGTGCACTCACATTTCACAGCTCTAGCAGCACCTGTGGCCTTGAAGCCTGATGCTGGAAAACCCTGAGCACAGCCAGCTCTCACAGAGTTCCCTGGAAGTTCGAGCACCTCTGCCAAGATGCTTACAAATGCTAACTGTGCCTTTTTTTCAAAATCAATAAGTCTTCAGTCAATTCTGACTGACACTGAAGAAAAGAAAATATTTACTGAACATAAGGCAATAAACAGAGGACCACAGTTGCTATGCTGGAATAGCAAGCTAGCTCAAGAAAAGCCTTTATAAATGGCAAAACAGATTTGTAGCCTCATATTTGCCTACTGTAAATGATAACACTAATAAACAAACTCTCAGAGGACTCCACAAGAGGGTCACAATGACCCCAGAAAGCCTTGTTTACTTTAATTTTGATATCCAAGGACTCACTAGGACTTCACAACCAGGTGCTTTCCAACAAGGATAAAAGTACAATACTACAATTCCCCACTATGCAAAGAGAAAAGAAAAAGGATGCACCAGACCAGTTGAACACTGTGGTGTTCAACAAGGGGCAGAAATGCTTCCCAACCATGAAAGAAGCCCAGGATGAGCCTATTAAAAAAACCAGTGCCTTTCTTAGGGACAACATCTTCCCCCACAGTCTACACATTTCTTTCCATTCTGGCTAATGGCAAGAGTCAATTATATTTGTTTACATACTTTCCTAAAGCTGGAATATTTCCTTCTAATTCTTGTATGTATTATTCCAGCTGATGAGTAGCAGATGCTAAAATATGACTAAAATATCATGCCTATGTGTTGACTTAGTCTGACACTACTTAGATGTTATACTTTAACAGACTCAACTGAAAGGACAACATGACCACAAGCTATTCAGCTATTTCTGGCAAATTCACAAATAAACATTTTTATTAGCCTTCTGTTTATTACTGTTTTGATATGGAAAGAAGTCTTATCAGATGTTATTATACTTCTTCCATTTGATTGAAGTTAGGTCCATCAGATTTAATTTCTTTTTTCTTTTCTGAATGGGGATTTTTCCTAAAACCACTTCAGGAAAAGCAAAGGGGAAAACAAATATTCAACTTCAGAGAGAAAGAGGACCTTGGGGTGGGAAAGGATGTTCAATATGTTCATCAATATTTGTGCTTTCTCCTTTTCATGAGCAGCTGTAAAGCAGCAAGCTGTGAGGAAGAAAAGAATTTGCATTTACAACAGAATCGTCTGATAGCAAACAAATGGTCAGTTTCTGAAATGATTTTTTAGTTTCATTATAATTCTGAAACTTATTTGTAATGGTCTGTGATAAAATTTTGAATACTGGTCAACAGAGAAACCTAAAACAATTGCCACAGGTCAGACTGCACAGCTGCTGAACTCAGCGAACACACAATTTTAGGGATCCGGACTTCTCACTCAGTGATTACAAAACACACCATCACTTGATTTACAGGAATCTTTCATATGTTATACAGTTCTCTACTACAGTGAGTGCTTAAAGCTAGGTCACTTTTTTTTTCCTAATAAAACAACTGTCTCATTGGAAGTGGCTCCATTTGCGTAGAGAATTTAAAAAGAAAAGGCGTCTGAGCAACAGCTAAAGCAGAAACAATCCAGGCGCAGTTAGACCTCCAGCTCCTCAAAACTTCCACCTACACCTAAGCTGCTCCTTCTGTCTTTTTGAAGTACATTCTCCAATTGCCAACCCTCCTCCTCCTCCTCCTCCTCTCCGCTTCCATATGCACTTTAGTGGTCATCAGCCACTGCCATCGCTGGAAAGCCTCGGAATAACCCTCAATTTTGATACGGCAGCAACCACCCCTGCACTCAGGAACAGGAAAGGTCAATTTAGGGAGGAAACTGAGACCTTTAACACTTAGAATATAAATGTATATTTGCTTGCAAAAGAAAGAAACTCTTTGTCTGTTGCTTTCAGCTTGGCATCTTTCACCCAGAGAGTTCACCTTTAAAAAAGAAAAAACCCAAACAAAACAAACAAACAGAGAAAAGAGCACTTGCATTGAGAATCTGCCTTTTTTATTTCTTTTCTTTTTTTTGTTGTTAATACCTCTGTAGGCAGCTCCGTTGCCAGTTTCCTGCTATCCTCACACCCCGCTGGCAGCCCCAGCACTAATTGCAGACAAGGAGTTGGTACAAGGAGCCTGTTTGAATTATCAAACTATTTTCTCCACATAGCAAAGAGATGTGTTCAGCTGGGATTTTAAGCTCTGTAAAAAGTCAGGGATTTAGGACAGATGTAACCTTATCTTTCCCTTCCCCCAGAACCCTGAAAAGACAAACAAAACAGCAGCCCTTGGGTTTACCGACAGACAGTCGCAGCTCCAGGGAGTTCCACCACCCATCTGGCTGGACATTTGTTCATGCCTATAACCCGGGTGCTTTAGGGAAACACAAAGCACCTACAGTCATCACCTCGCAGTGAGCAAACAGAGGAAAGCTCTTACATCCGGGTGCACAGCGGATTTTGGATAGCTCTTCAAAAGTAGTAGTTGGCTGCGGACAAGCCGGGCTGAGGGCTGCAGCTCTCCATCTGCCCGTTCCTGCCAGACAAAGCCCCTTTTCTCCAACTGCCTAAGGGACAAGGGTTGATTTTTTTCTTTCTTGTCTGATCAAATGAAGACCTCTGAAGAGTAACAGACTCAGGTTTTGCTCAGTGCATGGCAGTGCTGGCTTCTCCACCAGGTGACCTGAAGTCAGAGGAGAGCAGCACTAGCCCCAGTTGTCTGAAGATATTATCATGACTAGAAATGAAATCATCATCTTCAGACAACTGACTTTCCAAGAACTCACTAAAAAGTAATGAAGAAAAGTCAAGAGCCCCAAATGACAGTTCATAATTATATTTAAATTATTAAGCAAGTGACAGGCTTTGCTGAGCCTGGAAAGTGCACTGTGTTAGCTGCAAGTCCTCCACACTGACTGTAGCAGCACAATCCACCCTTGCCAGTAGTGCCACCCCAGAGGGGAGCTGCCATCCTGGCACACTGTAAAACAATCCCCTCTCTCCCTGCAGACCAGGGCAAGGTGGCCATGCAACACACCAGGGTTATAACCACCCAGTAATTCAAGATACTACCCTCCTGGGAGTTAATGGCTCCCTCCTGGCTCACCCTGACGTCTCTCCATCCTGGAGGGATCAATCTCCCCTCCACAAGAGGGACTGTCAGGTAGGAGCATCCCTCCTACACAACAGGCACGCACGGGATAAAAACGAAGCCTACCATTCACCTGTAGGTACAAAACAGCCCGGTATTTCTCTCTTGTCAGGCTTCAGCAGCAATCATGGGGGGTGGGGGAAAAAGGATTGCACCTTTGCTTCTGTATCAAAGGAATCAAGAGCCCATGTAACTTACAAGGCAGTGCTCCCAGAGAAGAGGAAAAGAGGGGGAAAAGGGGACACCACAAACAAGCATCCATCTGTGGGGGAAGCAAACATACACCACAGGCATGAATCTCCCCCTTTCTTTCACCTCCAGTCTCCTCTCATGTTAAGATAACAGGGAGAAAAGGGAATAATTTCTTCAATAGCTCTTTTGTTGTTTACATAAACAAAGGTGATAGGAGATAAAACACAATGTATCAGAAAGCATCAAACAGCTCCAGAACTGTACCATCTCCTCTTCAAGGAGATGGACATCTGGCAGCTGCTTATATGGTAGCCAAGAAGTTTCTGAGTAGGAGCCATACCTGCTAACAAAAGGTCTCAAGCTCTGGG